TCGCTGCGATTAGAAGCAGCCACAATTGTTATAACGTTTATTGTTTTGCCATATTTTGCACACAGATACAAAAGTAGCAGAAAAAAAACGATGCTAATGCGACGGCAATGAGAAAAGCTACAAAAAAGAAAGTTTTGCAGCGCCAAGATGGCAGAGGGGCGCCAACGAATTGAGATGCTGACAATGTGTGGGCACTGATATATTCTTAGAATGGGCCCCCAAACCGGAAACAGAAATAATAACAACATGCTTCATAGGGCATGGCTGGTGTGGCGGTATGGAGTAGCAGGAGGTGGCAAGCAAGGGAGTGGTGGCATATTGGCATTGGAAGTGTATGCTTTCGATAGTACGTCTATACGTCAGAGCCAAGTCGGGTGTACATGCCAGACATACCAAATGACTTCACTTATTTATGCCCAAGAGCGCACCGTGTTGGAATTAGAACTTGGTGGGGGAGTTCCTCGATTTGGCTTGGTTTCTCTTGGTTTGGTTTAGTTGGTAAGCCAACAACAGCATTTGTGTCAAATGGTGTAAGCGCAAAGCAATCAGCGATGAGGCATCAATAATTCGCAACGCAATTTCTACTTTTCTGCGCGCAAGTGTTGCACCAAAATAAAAAAAAAATAAAACAAAACTACAAAACAAAAATAAAAAAAAAACATACCCGCAGCCAAACTGGTCATGTTAAAACTAAAATTGCTTTCAAGTGGAGGCATTTGTTGTGGCTTCGCCTTTGACTTGACTTTTGTTTGTGGTCGGCACTCAACGCTTGCTTCGCTGATTTATGGCGCCACTTGCAGCTGACAAGCGCCTCAAAGTACACCACATTTTTTCCACTCTCCTCATCCATTTTCTACCCAGTCAGTCAGTCTTTCTGTCTGCCTGTCTTTGTCTATGTTTGCGCTTATGCTAAACGCGGCCCATTAAAGCCACTGTCGACTGTCGACTGTCGACTCGTCCTCGTCCTCGTCCCCGTTCTCGTTCCCTTACCCGTGCTTATCGTCGTCATGGCTTGTGTCTCATTTTCATTGGGATCGCATCAGCTTTTCATATTTTATGTTTTCGCGGTCACGTTTTTATCTTTTGCAACGCAGCCCCTAAAACACAGAGCCCAAATAAATTGAAGTTTGCTTTAATTTTGGTTGAGCTAAAGTGTTTTTCTGTTTTATATTTTTTTATTTGGGCTTTTGGCCTGATTGATATCAGCTTATATAACCTACATAAATCATATAGCATACTTCAGCAATCCTAACAAATGCGATTAGCAAATGTTTAAAATGGAAGAGGAGACTGTAGGCACAACATGTTCAATAGTTTGCAAAAGCTATTAAACTAGAGCACAATGATTGTTGTTGATTAGGGTAAGTTTTTATTATTCATTTCACTTATTTTATAAATATTTCTTATTAAAAAAAATATACAGTAAGTTGTTAATTTAAGCACCTACTTCACGTACATAGTATTTTCTAGTAGCTTTGTTTTATTCCCACTCGGCTACTTGCTGTATATTATTTATGTTTTGTTTTGCTGTCCACTTAGAGATCGTTTGGCGCTCGCAGCCCAGTCTCATGACAGTATCGTTAAACTGGACTTTTCCTCTAGTCTCACCTCTTCTTTTGCTCATATTTTGTAATTTATGGGAATTTTTTTTAGGTGAGCTCTATGCGAAATTGATTTACTGCTAAAATCTAGCAACGATTGCGATATTTTTATGTGAAATCAACAAAGCCACGTGGTGGAAAGTGGATATTTTACTAAACCTAATCGCACAGCCTGAAGCAAAGTAACAAACAGCAAAAATAGAGTGAGAGAGGGAGAGAGGGATTCAGGAGGAGAGGGGCAGTAAAGCGCTTAGCTTGTTTACATGTGAATCCACAAAGAATCCAGCGAATAGCAGGCTGAATTCCGGTCCAGGCAGCAAACAAACTCAGAAAGTTGGAAAATGATTACCAAGCACCAAAATCTGGTTCTAACAGGTCTTTGTTGAGTTCTTGATTGGACTGTGCCACTGTGGCACTGTGGCAATGTGTGCACTGCTAATTGAAATTGAAATTGTTGTGACGCCATATTCCAAGCACTGCGTCTCTGCAAAAACTCTGACAAAACAAACTTGGTTAGATTGCAACTGTACAACTGGTTCGGCAATTGGCGGGCTGTTTTTGTTTTAAAGTTGCTTCGAGTTATGACAAGTCTAGTCCACAAAAGTCTTCCATACCCGCACAACTTTTGCATCTGTCGGACAGAAGTTCTAATTTCCTAAAATTAAATTAAATGCGTAATTGAAAGTTGCTATAATATGCACGTCAGCTCAAAAACTAGTCAAAAGAAATAACTTGCAACACCTTCACACCGACGTTTAATTGGCCAATGCCAACCACGGAAAGCTAACAAACTTAAATACTCTTTCTCAAGTTGTGTGGTGCCTTCAAAGTTAAAGCTTTTTACGTTTTCGGACAGCTGAATAAGCTTAACTATAATTTCTGGCATGAAATGAACAGCATAATATTTTCAACAATTAAAAATTATTTATTTTTCTTCTAAAGTTAGTTGTTGAATCGACTATATTAAATGTAATGCGCAAACATTTTGGATTCATTAATTAATCTAATTGTAGATTTGTTGCAATTTTGAATGCTGAACTGGCTATCAATCCCAAAAAACTAACTAAAATAAGTCTATCAATTTTCGATGAAATATTTAATTGGCTATACAAATTGTAAAACATTTCTTAAGCAAAAAACGATGCAAATATAAATCACTTAAAAACATAGTTGTAGAAATTGAAATTCTACCCAAATGTATACAGAAATGTACAACATACAAAAACAAATTTTTTAATTAAAAAGAAACCTTTTTATTTTTCACAAATATATTTCTTAATAGTGGGAAATATTTCAAAAAAATATAAATGCAAATTTTCAAATCCCCTAAAACTAACAGTTTTATTAAATTAATTTATATACTATATAAAATGTATGTAAAGTTTATTAATTGTACACATGGGCAGTTTTTCTTCTGAGTGTATAAATTGTATATTTATAAAGGTATATAATATATACAAAGCAATAAATTTATTAAAGAGTTGAAATATGCAAAATATTCAAAAGCAAAATTACTTGCGGATTTTCAATAAATATGAAAGCAAGCTGCTTTTCTGATAAAATTGCCTAATTGTGTGTGCGAGTGTGCATATTTGTTGCTGTAACAATTAAAAACATATCAAGGTCAAGATGTATCTCAAATTCAAAACTCTCTTCAAAACAATTGAACAGCAGCCTAAATCCGAGCAAAGAAGAAAAAACAATATTCACTGATAAATTTTACTTACACAAAATTTGTAATGTAAGCCACAAATAACAATTGCCAAAAATAAATATCAATTGCTTTTTATGGAATAACTAAATAAAATGAGTTTTAGCCATGGCGTAGATTTAATTAAGATTTATGAATTTTGCATGTGGCATAGACTACAAATTGGTGTGTCGTACGACGAGATCAATGCATAGAAAATGTTTTAAAGTTTCATTGTTGCTTTGCATGGGTTGGGGCATGAAGCATGGCGCACGGGGGATGGGGAATGTAAAGCCAACGGCTAACATAAATTGTCAGCTGCAAATCCTTGACAAATCTGCTGCATTGGTTTTTGTTTCGGTGCGCGGTGTCCTTTGGCGTTCGCATCGAGATAAATCTTTATTGCCTCATTTTGCTCAAAGCTGATTTCTTTCTTTCCATTCTGTATGCCTCGCCTCAACTTACTTACACACAAAAATTCGTTGGCAAACTAACTGTGTCTGCCTCTGCCCCTAGATTCCCTCAATCTTCCCACTTCGCTTGGGTGAGTGTGGCCAAAAAGACAAAGGAGCTCAGATAACGTCGACGGGGAGAGGCCCGCATCGCAGCAAAAGCAGCAGTTTCTGTATAACAACAATAATAGCAACAGCAACTTCAGAAATAAAACGGCAAAACTTTGCAGCAATGAATGACAAATAAAAACGGAACACATTACAAACGCACAGTCCAACAGGAACGAAAAGAAAAAAATTATCCAAGTAGAACTAAATGGATACCGGAAAACTTTTCTGCCAGCCATTTTGCAACTTGTCCATTTACTCGGCTTTAATTTTTAGCTGCGGTGCCCGATTCAAGTTAATAATTAATTTTGTTGTCTCGTTGCCAAAAACTAACTTAAAGCCTTAACCAAGAAATGGGTCTGGGCTGCCTTTTGGCCAAAGCTGCCATTGCCAGCCTCAAGTTGTGTCTTCAGTTTTATGGCTGCTGGCTGCGGTAAATGACTTTTAGAAAGGTTTGCTTCCATACTTATTATTTCGTACATAAAAATCGCTTATTGATGGGCAGGTCAGACGGGTTGGCAAATGGCTGGTTGTGATCCCTGACAAGGGTCGAACGGCATTTGGCTAATTTTAACAGTTAATAAAAGCTAAGCGAGCGTAGATAAATCTTAGACCAAATGACATAAAACAAAAAAAACACAGCCAGTGCTTAAATGGCATATAAAGACACCAATTTCATTGATATATTGATGAAAATAAATAATGTCGTCAGCACAACCAAACCTTTTCAATAATTGAAAAGGGGATGGTTTAGTTTATTTATATATTTAATAAAAACGTTTCATTTATTTTTTATTTACATATTTCCAATATAATATAGTTTGTGTAAGTTAATTAAAATTAAAATGCTACTTAAATCGCAATGTGCGCAAGTCCAGCCAATGATATGAAATTGTTTCATCAGATTAACAATTATTACAAATTCAAACCCCTTACCAATTTCCACAGTAATGTAATCAGCTGATTGCCTTTTCAAAGGTCCCACTTGGATATTCCCACAACTAGCAAAGTCAAACTAAACAATTGTAAATATACATTGCCGAGTTCTCAGGCTGAGCCAGGCTGAGCGTGCAGAACTATAAAAACAAAAACAAAAAACACACATACAAAAATAAATAAGCAAGCGTAAAAAGTTTGTCCACTACTCACATTAAGTATATGCCATATATGCTGCCAATGTAGAGCACGTTACGAATACGTTCCGTATACCGACGCCAAATTACAATTGTCGTGCTATTTCCCTCCTGTTTGCTGTTGCTATTCCTGCTTTTGCTGAGGCGCACCGCCAGAGAAATTTAAATAGAAGCAACTGTAATTATGAAGTACCCGGTTCACTGTGGACACCACGAAAAGTCAAACTCGCACACACGCCCGCACACACCCAAACCCAAACCCAAACTTACACACACACACACTGAGGCAGAAGCCGTAACTTTGTGTTTGCTTAAACAACAGCAGCTGTCGCCGCCGCTTTGTTTGTTTTTCATATAAATTGTTTCGCACAATTTTCACTGCTGTTGTTATTTTCCTTTTTTTTCGTGTTATTCGCTTTGTTTTTGGGTGTGTTTTAAAATTTCATACACATATTTCGTATTGTACTTTTGCCCGCACGTCTCTCATTCAATTGTGTGTTACTTGTGGGCGATGCTCGAGGCGCACAACATTTTTGCTTAGAGCTAAGCGAGTTTTAATAAGCCACACATATTGCCTGTTTATGCATTTGCCATTCCATAGTTTAGTTTTAGCCAGTTTCCCTTTTGCTGCGGCTCAACTGAAAAGCAAAGAGAGTGAGAGAGTTTTAGATAGAGATAAAGCACGAGTTAAATAGTTACAGTTACAGCTGAAGTTTCTCTTTATAAGCAGTACAATTCCAACAATTTGAACTTTCAGCATTGCCAGTAAACAAAACTTTGACCACAAATGAACAACAACAAATGGAAGTATGTGTGCGCCGTTAATCGCACGACTTGAAAGTAAACCAGGCTAAACACATTCACCAAAGCCAGCAGCCAGTAAACATATGGCCGCAGTATATGTTTAAGTTAATAACCAAAAATAAATGAAAAAAAAAATCAAAAAATATAAATATAAATACGATTGCTTCACATGTGCTAATCGCATTGTCCATTTTTATGGAACAAGCTAAATTTGTGTCACCAAAAAAACTAATTATATAAAACTAGATCACCAATGAGCAAATATCTGAGTTAAAACCATCAAAAACTGCTGTATTTGCCATATCTTTGTGGTTTACAATCAAAATTTGACAATGACCCAGTTGTTTAAAATACTTGCAAACCGACCTAGATTTATTGGATCGCAAATGCGAAACATGCTTATTAAATTAAAATAGAACTTCAAACTGAATTGTATAAAACTCGAACACCAACTGAGCAAATATCCAAGTAAAAGTCGTCCAAACATGTTTTGTTTATCATGTCTACCAATTATCGCTAACAATCAAAATTTGACAAACTATACTTCAGTTGTCCAAATAATTGTAGACAGACCCAGATATATTTGGATCGCAAATGCAAAACATGCTTATTAAATTAAAGGGGAATCTAAGAAAATGATCATTCACCAACGGATTGAAACAAGGTGAACATCATATTTTCCGCTGAGCGATGGGGTAATTCCCAACAACACTGGTATCAACTACTGTATTCCTATCCAATTATACCAATAATGTGATGAGTACGAAATCTGGTAAGAAGAACAAAGGACACACCGCAGAAGTAAGAAGTAGGGCTTCATTAAGGGTTCACAGAAAACGAATCAGAAACAACCCGATCGGGACCAACTCACAGATCAATATGAACTGACCTTTGTATTAGACTTACAAGAACTTTTACACAGTGCAGATTTAGGATATGCATTAACATGTATATATATATAGCGACATTGCTATATGACAGAAAGGGCTCAGGATTAAATCTAGCGGAAGTCAAAAGTTGTATTGAGAGGCAAAATTAGGAATAGGAGATATAACCATAATCTCTAAAGGATCCCTTAAGTGAATTTCTGGGGCGAGAGTGGTAGTGGCTGTAAAAAAAATTAGAGAAGGTTCCTTGTAATCTACATTACAAGTTTGACATATGAAGCTCTTAAATTACGGGAGATATGGACTTTTGGATATTTTCAGAGTGGGTATGGGCGTGGCTCATGGGTTCAGTAGTTACAGCTAAGATTGATAGAGTCGGGTAGTAAGCCAGAGCACATACATAAGTTTGCAGACTTACTGGAAAGACTAAGTAGAAGAATGTTTGTAATTATTGTTGTCGTCGAGTTTGTCGGGCGTAGAGCAGAAGGGCAGATAAAGAGAGTCAAACGGAGACACAAATATGTTCTCGACGCGTTTAGACAATCGAGCAAACAGAAATATAGACGGACGTAATGGTAAAGTAAATCGTAGAAGTGCTTCTTTTGTGGCAAATACTTCAACCTGAAAAGCACTGCAATGTGTCGGGAGACTGCATGATAGCTGTATATAGAATTGCTCAGAGTAGACACCTCCGCCAACGCGGTTGTCTAGCTTTGAGCAATCTGTGAAAAAGGTTATGGTTGCCGCTGGTCCGGGAGTACCATGGGTCCATTCCTCCCTTTGGGAGGAAGTACATGGTGAAGGGTGTTCCTAGTTGTATTTGCACTTTCATGCAAAAAGAACAAGTTCTGTTTTATTGGGTTTAATAACCAAACCACACTTATGTGTCCAGCAAGACAGTATTTTAGGTTTTCTAGTCACACAGAGTTTGGGGGTACTTTCACCTGAAGATTACAGCAATGTCATCTGCGTATGCAACAATACCTGGAGAGAGTTGACGATCCAAGAGCAGATATCACAATCCTGCAAGTGATCATGAAAAAAGTGAAATAACTACAGATGGACAGACGAACATGGATCGTCATAGATCGAATTGGGTGTTGATCCTGTTGACCAACAATAGATACACTTTATGGGTCGGATACATCCTTCTGGCTGTTACTTACTTTGGCACATCATCAATATAATTATTTGACACATTTTCAATGGGTGCAGGGTACAAATAAAATAAAAAACCGACGTGTTTACAATAAACATTAATATAATGGACTCTTAGCAAATAGTACTACCTTGTGTATTTACCCCACTTAGAAATAGTATAGAAGTGCTTAAAGCAGCTTTCAGCGGACGCGACTGGTAAATTAAGAAAAATTATCATCATAAATATGCGACCATATACGAGGTGTATATGGTTATGTTGTTGTGGCATGCATTATTTTAAGGTGCAAGTGCAACCTGTTCGCAAGTGTGCGAAACATAAAACACTCTAGCAACGGGCAACTTTTGGCAAACAGCGCGCAACGTGCAACAAACGAACGAGTGTGCAACAATAACTATAAAATGTTTGTTGGACAACACAACACAACACAACACACAGCCAGCCCAAGTGTGTTAAAGTTTAGAAACACAGAACACAAAACGATAAACTAGTTCATGCATGCCATAGAAGTGGCATAAAGAAATACTCTGGTCCATTAATACACACAAACAAACTGGGCGCACTGGGAAACGGTGTCTAAGCTGAGCTCCATAACAAATTGCCTGGCAATTGGATTTAGTTTTGATTTAGTTTTGATTTAGTATGCATTCAACTGGGCCCATAATCAATTGAAACCAATCAACGCAAGTTTTACAAGCCTGTAATTTGAGATGAAAGTGCAATCATCTTTGCAAATAAATGCAATTGAGCTTGTTCGCAACAAATCAGTTCAAGTGTATAGATTTTAATTTTTCAACATTCATGGAAATTTTGCATGCAAATCGGCGACATATGCGAAACAATAGTTATCAATAAAGTGAAATATACTCGAAATGCGTATGGAAATGGAAACTTATATTCTGAATTTGTAGTGTGTAACTCCTGTAGTCTCTGCAATCGGCTTTAATTTATCGTTCAATATTATAGTTATTCTTTTCTATGTAAAATAAAGTGCAAACGGACGTTATTAACTCTGACACCAGTAAGTGATTTGACTCTTTAAATCACTCACATATTTCATCTTCGTCTGAGTTAATCAGCCAAATTAGTTTTGCAGTTCCGAATTTTCTACCTCTTTCTCTGCAAACTTGTAGATCGAACTATGCTATCCATAATCCATTTCGAGTCTTATGCTCACATTATAATGAGTTTGTCCCTTTAATAAGGTGTGCTTCGTCCATTTCTCCTTTTAAAACTGCAGTATTATGTTATCAATTCGCCACCTTGGTCGGTTGTGTGGGAGGTGTGTCGTATTTTTCTAGGGTCAGGCCAGTGCTTGGTGTCGTTGGGCCACTTGGATGTGCTACTCGTTAGTACTTCAACGTCCAAATAATATAAAATCAACTGCCCATACTTGCAGTGCTTCATGTGGATTTTGTCTCAGCCGTTAAAGCATTTAAAACTGCTTGATTAAATATCGAAGTGAATACTAAAAAAATAATCAGAAAATAAATAAATATTTAAAGAAAGTATATTAAAAATATAAATTAAATTAAATTAATTTCTATTCAAAATGTATAAATAAATATCATAATTGAAAACAATTTAGATATATTTGTATGAGAGGACATCAATCTTCATTACCAATCAAAACTCTTAAACCCTAAATTATTCCATTAAGTCTTAATAGTCATTCGGAAGCAATAAATTCTCCAAAGCTCTGAAGAAATGTTAATTTTAAACTCAAATATTTTTAAGTTGTTTATCTGTTGCTCTGTCTTATGTCTTATTTTTTACGATCGACTGTGAGCGAAATATTTCAAATTTGTGTGATTATATTGTACAAGGAAGAGTGCTATTATATACACGCGAGTTGAGTTGGAAATTGTAACTGAGTTTATCACTTAAAATCGTAGACTTATATAGCTAATACAATAAGTCATTTTACAGTATTTTTATTGTATTTTCAAAATTTACCAACGTTTTTACTTCCCAGTGGGTTATTTAAAGCAGGCCCTGTACCTACTGCACCTATCATTATTTAATTTACAAACAAATTTATCAACTCGACTAGTGATGCTGATCTAGAATATATATACCCTATGGAATTGGACACGTCTTCCTCTCCATAATTATAATATCCTCCACAAGGGTATACGAAAAAAGTTTCAAACTTACTGTTAACTGAGCTGAATGCCAATGAAAATCATTATAATGTTCATCCCCTTCAATAATCATAGATTGAATTCAGTTCTTTTCATCCATTTGCTTCAGATTTTGTGTATTTAACTGTAGAGCCACATGTACAATATGTTGATTCATTAAATTATAATTGAAACAGTAACCGAATATGAAATTAAAAGTGAACAGTACCTTTCTTCTTTTATTACTTTGGGTGTGATTAACTGTAGTATATATAGAGCTTTACTCCACCCAGTAAACAGCGATATTGA